AAGTAACGATTTTTGTTTTAAAATTTAATTTAATAGTCCTTTTTTATGTTTTTTGTTTTGTTGCACATAGAAATACATATATTTATTTTTCTCTGTTTTTTTTTTTTTAATAAACAATTATATTTATTTTTTCCTCTCTTTTTTTGTTATTGTTATATTACATACAAAAACAATTTAGTTTAATTTTTGTTTATAATTAACAAAATCTTTTTTTACTCAATTTATGACTAGGTTTCTCAAATTAAAATTTAAGTTTGTTGGTTTCTGGAGTCTTTACAAATATATTTTATTATGTATATAGGTTTATTTTGAATCATTAAAAGATTTAGCTATATTTCATGTTTTGTTTTTTTATTTTTATCGACACACATATAGTACACATTTAGAACGTTATTTTTTGTTGTTTTGTATAATATAACACTTATAACATGTAATAACATCAATGTAACATTTTATTTTATGTTTTTAATATATAATATTTTTTATATATTGTGGTTTGTTTCTGTTTTGTTGTGTAAATTTAACAAATAAATATATATTTTTATACATACAAATATATATATATATATATATATATAAAACATTCAAAAATATAATCAATTTGTGTGAGTATAATTTGTTTTTGTGAAATGTACGTTTAGGTTATGCGATTGGGTTTCTTTGAAATTATAATAAAATTCATTGTTATTTTTTGTAAAAAAGAAATCACAATTTTCTCTCTGTGGTCATACAAAAATATTATTTTACTAAATAATAGTTAAATTTTGCAAAATTATACAAAAATATAGACACTTTTTAAGGATTTTTTATAGATTTAACACAAAGCCAAAGTAATAATGATACAATTTTATTGTTTTTATTGCATGAATATTAAATTAAAATTAAGGTTATTTTTACAATTCTTGTATTAATTTTTTCAAAAACCGAGAAGAAAATTAATCAAATAAAAAGTCTCCAAATTTGAGTTCAAAAATCTTAAAAAAATATTTTTTGTGCTAATACTTTGATTATCAAACACTTTTGTGCTAAAACAAAATTAAATTTAAATATCACTCCCTATTTTCTAAATATTCCATTTTTTAACTCAATTCAATTCTATTTTTTTAATTTACAATTTGTTCATTATTATAATAGGTGTGTTCCAGTATCAATTTCTTAGTATCTTCTCTCGATGAGAGTCAATGAATTATTTTATTCTTCTCCATGTTAAAAGAAGACAGTTTGAGGTATTTTTTTCAGAAATTTTCCTCTAGAACTAATAGAACAGAAAACAGCTGTTTCATTGTGAATATTTGTCAAAAATTAGAAAACAGCTGTTTCATAGTAGTAAGAAAATGCAAATTGCAATGAAACCTAGACACAAATAACATGAGGATTTCTTAAATATTAGTCTGATTCTTCTTCTTCTCTTCTTGAATATTCCCCAGCGGAAAAATTACATTTGTCTGATTATTATTCTTCTTCTTTTTTAAATTCATACTGTGACATATTTGATTGAATATTCTCCGATTTTGAACTATTCAAATGAAAAATAGCGGTTTAATCTTTAACAGCTGCCAAAAAAATATTTTGTAACGGAAGTTAGAAGCATATGACCCGACAAATTACTCAAATCATGACATTTAGATCTCACATTTTTCTCTTAAACTATTAGACCACGTTTAGACTACTAAATCCACTCGATCTCAAATGTCAATTTCATAGCGTATACGTCACCTTAATCATGTTCACAAATCCAGTGTATTATATTTGACGTATACGCTACGGAATTGAAATTTGAGATTCAATGGGTATCGTAAATCTAAACGCGTCTTTACCATAGATAACAGCTGTTTCATTGTTGTCAGAATCTGCTATTATGAAGAAAAAAACTCTTAAGAAATGTTTTGAAAGATCACTGAAATATAAGTTTGGAGTTTTTTTAGATGATCACAAAATATCTGACATTTTTTTCTTTAAGAATTTCACATAAACTTTATAAGCAGAAATGAAATTGATTCTATTAAAGTTTTTCAAAAAATCTTTTTGTTGGACTATAACACAAGTGAAATAATACCGAATCCCTAAGTTTTTATGTGATTTTATAATCCTTTAGTAATTTCAAAGAATGTGTTTTTTACTTTTCTTAACATTCGAAAAAATCAGAAACGCAGCTAATAAATAATCAGCTGTTCACATAAAACAGCTGATTTCTTACTGACAAGTGCAAGATAGATGTAATAAAGTAGATCGATTACAAGAGCAAAACTATTGTAGAGAGTTCATGTGTCTTAACCATAATCCAGAAATATTAAGAAATGTATTGCACGACAACCATCAAAAATTCAAAAATGTTTAAATATAATTATGTGGTTATTTTTTCTGTTTCTAATCACAATAGTTTTTATGGCAGAGTTCATTACACAAACAGCTGTACTGATGCATTAATTCGATCTTATTAAAACTACTTTAGGTAAGTTCCAAAATGGTACAAAATGTTAATGTGCGTTTAAATTTACGAAATCCAAGGCCTATAAATAAGGTCATCCAGGGAGACCAGCTGGATATCGGCTGCCTCTCAAGTTTGCTGTCAAAATCCATTATTCTGAATTGATTTCCATTATGAAAACGTAAACAAAGTTAAAATTTTTGACATTAGACTTGAGAAAAAACAGCTGACTTTTGTTAGCTGAGTGACCTTCTTAATAGATCTTGACGAAATTCATTCGATCTCAAATCTCAATTCCATTGCGTATACATGTCAAATATAATCCACTGGATTTTTGAACAGATTAAGGTGACGTATACGCATGAATTTACATTTGAAATCGAGAGGATTTAGTTGTCTAAACGACAACTTTCTCTCTTTCACTGGTTATTTGATTTACAAAATAAGACAACAATTGGAACAAAGTATTTTTTAAGCAAACATTTAGTAAATAGGGACAAGTTTTTTTTATTTTTATATTTTATCTATAATACCAATAAGCCTAATATAAAAGTATTTAGATCCAATAAATAATAATACAATATTGTTTAATTATTATTTTTTGCTTTGAAACAGAGAGTTAAGAAATAATTATTATTTAAAATAAAAAAACATATAATTTGCACTATTAAATTTAAACAGGTACTCAATATATATTTTCTTTATTAATAATTTTTTTAAAAATATTTATATTGCAAAAAATATAGACTTTCTTTTATTTATAAAAAAATATAATTTCTAAAAATATGAATTTTATTATAATTTCAAAAAAATGCATTAATGTATTTATGTAATGGGATTGTGTGTTTTTATATCTTTATAAGATTATTATGTATATTTTTTTGATTTCTACATCTTTATTTTTGTTTTTTTCTGCGAAAAAAAATTATTAATTATTTTGTATACTCTTAAGAAAATTATTATTTTTCAATAAATGTAAAGTAGCCAAATGGAGTTCATAACTCCTATTTGTTGTTTTTTATTAAAAAATAATAATGATGTAGTTTTATGGTATTTGTCACTAGACATTAACACTGGACCAACATAACCTCAAAAGGTATTTTTTTCTATTTGAAACTCCATGGTACAATTATTACAAGGTAGGGTATAGCTATCGGATTTTAATTTCAGACAAATTGAATTGACTCAATCACTGTAATTTGTTGGTGTGAGAATTGAGGAAATGACAATCCTTCACCATCAACAAACTGAGAAATGACTTAAATAAAAATAGACTTAATTTAAATCAGGACTTCAAATAGTATCCTGTGTTCAATATAAACCAAAAAATGTCGAATAAACACAACAATTCGTAGCGTTTATTTATTATGTATCTGACGGATATAGACTCTACATGAAGAGTTGATTTTTCTCATTCATCTCAATATATCCTACCGTGTGTACCATTGTACCATGCTAAATACAAACAAAAATACTCCGTCTGCTCAGTGTTAAGGAAATAATGTGTAGAGGAAAGTATAGACGTCCCGAATCGTGCTATTAACATTCTCTGCTTGCATTTGATAATCTGCATCTTAATGATGTCCTCCAGATTATGGGCAAAGCGATAAGTGATGTCTCACATCTTCAGATTTGTCTTTAACTAATCATTCCAATGATAAAATTATTTATTTTTTTTTGTTCTATAATTTGGCAAATATTTGTATGTATGTAATTTTTTCAAAGAAATTATATACAAATGGAAAATCCAAAGCCAGGCAATAACCTAATAAGTATATTGACCATAAGCTAACTTTCTTTAGATACATTTTTTTATCCTTCAGAAAGTGGTGCTGATTTATTACAGAAATCTATTCTGAATACTTTGTCACCTGAATTGTGTGGGATAGTATTTGGATTCCCCAATAGATGATATTTAGGTTAGGTCAATCATAATAATTTAGATGTGTTTTTTTCTTCTTCTAAAATTCTGTATTACAATTTCTACTACCTAATTAGTTAAGGTGGTTTTAATTAGTTGTTGTGTTTTTGTTGTATATATGTATGTAGTTATTTTTGTTGTATGTACCTTTAGATTTTAGCTACATAAAAAACAAACCGTTTTGATAATTATTTTATTTTACATGTTTTTTGTGGTTTTTTCTTCATTTTTTCACAGAAATCTGAGGTAGTTGTTCCAATATACTCTTCGACAAGGTCTATGTGTGTGTGCCATTCCGTTGATATAAATATATATTTGAATGTACGTTTGTTTATGGGAGCTGTTTAGTTCTGCTGATTGGTTGTATATAGTTTTCAAGTTCATTGCTGGGCTGATTCTATGTTTTTAATAGGATATACCCGATATATTGGAGACGACAGCAAGATAAGGAAAACAACCACAACAACTCTCCTTTAAACGCCGCGACATTTTTGATAACATGAAAATGTTTTTGATTTTGTCTTTTCTTTGTATGTGTGTGTGTGCTTGATTCCAACAAATACTCACAGCTGATGTTTCGAAGGAAATCTTATTTGGATTGTAAAAAAAATATCTTTCCTTTTTTATTTGTTTGCGGTTGGCTTTACCAATCTACCAACCATTCGTATTAGAGATGGCCTCCAATTTGGCTGCTTTGGCTATAGCTGCTGCCGCCGCCGCGGCAGGATGTTGCTGTTTACTGGCCACAACAGCGGCAGCAGCCGCCAACAATGATGCTGAGGAGGTGGGCATAAAATTGACATTGATGTTGATGGGATGTACAACCGGCATACTATTGAAATTCTTCTCCAGCAGATCGATACCATTGAGGAATGGTATCAGTATATTGTAGTCAACATTGAGTGGTACATAGTAGGTGCCTTGACTGTGTAGGGCAAAAATGGGCACAGCAAAACTACGGGTTGGCAGTGGAGCGGTGGTACTGGTGGGAGCACTCAAGTGCGGTTTCAATGGTCCATTGCTGTTGGCCGTTGTTGCCTCGGTTTTGATATCACTGAACGGGGTAAAGGGTTTTTCTTCCCGGGCATTACTGCTGGTGTTATTCAAAAGAGAAGCGGCTGCAGCAGCAACATTATTGGCTCGATGGGCAGGTGTTATTCTCAAATCAGCTTCATCCACAGTATTCTCACAGTGGGCACTCAGTGCTTCGGCCATTTTGCGCTTTTTAGCCATAATGGGTGCAATTTCCGGCTCTGTACCATCCTTGGAGTGTTCGGAATGGGCATGTGAATTTTCATTTTGTAACATTGGTGGGGCGGGACAATGTTCCGATGAAGTCTCCTCATCGTGTAGTTCATGATTGAAACGTTCCTTTATATGATTTTTGTACTTATAATTGTTGTTGTGCTCAATATCATGAGAAGATTCTGAGAAATTACGCAGGCGGCCACCATGCAACAGACTGTCCTGATGATGAGCCATGTGGGCAGAATGATGCGAATGTGGCATGCTGTGGGAGCCATGATGATGTGAGCCCAACAGAGTATCACGTGGTGGCGGCGAATGCATATTGGAGGTATCGGTGTGCAAGATGGGTTCACGCGATGAGTCAAAGTCATGATTACTGGAATCTGTGTGATGATGGAGGGATGCTGGAGCTGTGGACGTTATAACGGGGGCTTGATGGGGCTGTTGTGTGGATGTGGCAACTCCCAGGGCCCCACCAACAGCAGGTCCTGTAGAACTGGTGGCATTATTCGATGTTGTTATTACCGAACCCGAGTTCGATGCCGTTGATGCATTGTTAGGAATATTAGACGTGTTGTTGTTGCTGCTGTTGACATTAGTTGTGCTCGAGCTAGCTGTGGTGGTGGCTGCTGCTGCTGCCGCTGCATTACTGCCAACATTGTTGTGATGGGCTTCATTGGTATTACTATCCATGGCAGCAGCTGCAGCTGCTGCTGCGGCCGCCGCTGCAGCTGCATTGTTGCGATGCAATTGATTCAAATGATTGCGAAAACTGAGATCTTTAACATCGTTGTGATCGTTGCTGTGCTCAATGTCTGAGGTACCCAACATGTCGCGCAATTGGCACAATGGCGGTACAGCGTGGAACGTTTGATGGGGACTGCCACTGGAAGCGCTAATATTATCGGCGGCCGTGTGACAGCTACGGGAGCGGAAACAATCATCTGCAACACAAAAAAATGAATATAAATAATATCCTTAAAAAAAAAACTCACACACAACTTACTTTTCATAACCTCTTCACAGTGTTCCTGGAGGCGAGCCAAGAGACGATAACAAAACTCCTGCTGTTGACTATCATATAAAAATTTCGCTGCCTCCTTCATACAGTCCGTATAGCCCATACGATAGTCATTCTCCTTTTGCATACATTCACTTTGCAGATGTTTTAGATGACGTATGGCCATTTCAATAATTTCCGTTTTTTCGATGCGTCCCCGTCCTTTACGTTGATATTGCGGTGGGATAAGACGTGACAAATCGGCCAAACATGAATTCATCCGATCTCGTCGTCTCTTTTCAATAATGCGATGCGATAGAGGATCTTGCTATAAGGGTGGAGGAGGAGGAGGTTAAGAAAGAAAATAAGAGATTAATAAACTAATTTTTGATTAATGAAAATAAGGTTAGAAATAAATAAAAGAAATTATTAAAATCCTACACCATAACCTCAAATTTGTCTAATATGTACATATGTATGTATATATAATTTTTTTGAATAGAATATCCTTTAATCAAAAGGGGTTTTTGTAAAGGATTAAAGCTTTTGTTTGGTTTTGTGTGGTGAGGCTTTAGTGGAATATCGTTTTTGCTGTAGATTCTGTATAATTCCAACTTAAAGTGATATTCTGGGTCTCTTGGAAAATCATTTAATTGAACTAATGGTGTAAAATACTTTTTCGGAAAATATTAAATATGCAGCTGGGGTATTTTTCTAAAATACCCATAAGCTGATTAATTTTGATACGGAATGGATGTCTTTCTTGGACTACACATGAAATAATTAGATGAGTAAATATTTATATGTGTACGTTTTCTAGGCTACTTTAGAATAAAAATAATCTTTTTCTTAATTCTCGACCATAACCCCATTTAGATATCTGTAATTCAATGCAAATGGCGGGTAAACCATTGCCAATAAAATTGAAGATATATTTTGGGTATGTTGCCGTACTTTGGGTAAGAGGTAAAACTTTTTTATATTTATCAAGGGAAATTCGAAAACAATTTTAATTTCGGAATGGAAAAGATTCGGAATGGAAAATTATTTCGATTTATGAAGATTTTTGCAGGTTCTGGAACAGAGCGTATATTTTGTTTGTAATAATCAATGGGACAAAAATCGACCTACATATCTCTTATTTGGTGTTAAATTAATTGTTTTATTTATTATATTTACTAATAAATTCTGAAGACGTGGAGCACAGCATTTTTACTTTTTTCCCAACACAACAATCTTTTGACAATCCTGAAATCCACTGAGGAAGGTCTATTCAAGATTTTAATTCGCTTCATCAAAGAGGCGAAAATTCATCTGTGATCCTGATCCTAATCCCTATCCCATCCCAACCTGTGATACAATCTGTGATATTAGCTTAAGTTTTTAACCTGTTTTTGGATCAATAACTAATTTTTGACGTGTTTTCCCACTCCCCCTTTTTGCCCCCTTTTTCTATTTATTTCCTATCTTCAGCAGCCTTGAAAGCGCCTAGAGGACTTGGAGAATCTACCCTGTGTGACCTGGAAGCTTGTTTAGTTCCGGAAATTCTTTCACTGCTGGTTGCAGTTTCGTCACTACATACACCTTATGCACTTGGACATCTCTCAACCGGGAGGTCGTAAGTCGGTTTAAATCAATCTACTTAAAATCCTTGATTACTCTGTTTAATGCATTTCTACTACTAAAGTACTGTGTACTATCGTTCTTTTTTGTGTTTTCATCAGCTGTTTTTTGCAGCCTTCGTTGATTCGACATTTGGACTGTGAACTACTATTAAACTGAAGTCTTTTGTACCCAGTGTACGATCGTTTTTGGATATTATCTTTTTGGAAGAAAACCTGGCCACGTGTATTCACGGATCGCCAATTCCTGCGGCCTTAAGGAACTGAGGACCGCCTTCGAACACACACACAGTAATAAATTAAATTTTTGAGAAATAATTGAGAAAAATAGAACAATGGAAGCAGAGGTATTTTGAATATAATATGAAGCAAGTGTTCTTAAAAAAGGTCCCACTTTTTGAGAAATAATTCAGAATAATAGAACCAGATGGAAGGAGAGGTATTTTGAAAATAATAAGAAGCAAGTGTTTTTAAATAGGGATCCAATTTTTGAGAAATATTTGAAAAAAAGTTAGAACCAGATGGAAGGGGAGGTGTTTTGGAAGTAATAAGAAGTGTTCTTAAAAAAGGTTCCAATGATGTCCCAAGTATTTCAAAATTTTATGTATTTTGGATACACGCCCACACAAAACCAAACCGCCTTTATACAAATATTATTATTTTAAGGTTATGTATTATTTTGAAGCTCAAATATTAGAATATATGTAATAAATGCTGTTTGATTTTTGTAGTTATTTATTTCATAATTTTTTTTTTTTGTAATAAGAAATATTAATAATTGTATTTTTTTAGTTGATACTGGTGGTGGTTGTGATGATAATTTGTGTATAGTGCGATGTTGAAGAACCATTTTGTGGAATAGTGTTAAATGGGCGTCGTTGTTGTCCAGCCCCGACATCACAATTTCCATTTCCTTCCATGTCACTTTGTGCATTGTCGGGTAAGTAAGGGGGTGGGTGCTTGGTTCTATGACTCGTAATATCGTGTAGCATTTTGGCAAAATAGTGGCGAATCGATAAAATAGTTAACAACTAATAAATAAATATTTACCCTCGATGTTTTGTTACGTCTTCCGGTATTATATTCGGTATCATCTTCACTGTAGCCGGTTGCATTTGTTGAGAAATTGAGGCTAGATTCGGTGCAGTATGGAAAACTGGAAACGGCTGCATCGCTGTAATTTGTATTGCATTGAATCGATGAATATGTCGTAGGATTTTTATTTTTGTGAAAAAGTAGAGTTTATTTTGGGTTGATCATTGTGTTTTATGGAAATAAAAGAGATAAAAGAAAAACAATATACTTTAGTTTAAATGTTTTATTACAAATGTTTAGCTTAAATTTAATGTAGAGTTTGTTTTTATATTTTCGGATAATATTTGAAAGTAAAACAATGGCGTTGGGGTTTTAGCACACGAAAACCCTTAGTGACAACAAAAATGCTCCCTCAGGTCTCAGTTTAACACCAGGGCCTTTATATTATGTAGGGGGCGGGCACTTGTCTATAATGTTTCAATCCACAAGGACTCACAAAACACTCATGTCTTACTTTTGAGAAAAAGAAAATCATAAAAAGAACAAAATATAGAAAAAAAATAGTTTAAATAAATTTTAGAATAAAAGATAATTGTAACGCTTCTCTTGGGTGGGATCGAAAAATTAGCCCATATTGTATTTATATTTTTGGCACATACCCGTATTTGAAATTGACATAAACATATCACCAAATTCTTCACTAGAACTCAAATGATAAACAAAAATAGAAACGAACAATGATTTTTGTATATTCCTACATAGCGAAATTTAAAATCAACACTTTTTTGAAAAAGAAATTTACTTACCTTTGCAAGGTGACATACTTGTTAATAAACAAATACAAACATGCTTTGTTTTTTTCCAGAGATTATTCTTAGTGTTGATTTTAAAAATAACCATAAATTAAATTTACAAAAATCATCATGCAAAAAATTTTCAGATAGTATTTATATATTGATAAAGATTTAGTAATCGTTATTATCCCGGACATTGATAGAATGTTCTATTCAACATGACCGGTTGGAATTTAAGTGCTGTGTGATTCCAGTTTAAATTCTTTAAATGTATATATATTTCTAAAAACAATTGTAAAACTTTGTGTGTTTCACATTTAAATGTTAATAGAATCGCTGATAAGTAAGATTCAAAGAAAGCTACAAATTAAAAAAAAAACAGCACGAGCCCCATTTGTTACTGTGTTTAAATATTTTTCCATTATTTGAACACGTTTTGCTCACATGAGCTGTTTTAAAAAGTACACGTTTTCATTATAAAGCAAAATATTAATTGCTCGCATTTAATCTTCCGTACCCAACATACATATATAATAATTATTTTTATTTTTAATATACAAAACATAAATAAAAACCCAAATTTATTGCTAATTAAAAAAATAAACAAATATATTTATATTGTTTTGCACTCAAGTGTTTTTTCAAACTTACTTCAGAGTTCTAGAAATATAACAATTTCTTTGAAATTTCAAATTAAAAAAATTGTCTCTTTAGGGGGAAGTTTTGGAACGAAACCAATATTTGAATTGTTGACATAACAAGCCACAAAACAGAGTTGTATTTCAATTTCATTTTCAAAATATAGCAATTCTCGTTTCTTATTTTATAACGGACGGACTGAAAATTATAATTTTCTAATAATCATTTTGTTCCACTGTGTCTGTTTTTTAATGTTGATCTGTTGATAATTTCTTAGTTAATTTTTTTTTGGCACAAATTTGGCCGCCCGTCATGATGACATTATAAGCATTGCCAAGCGTTCTACTTTCCTCATATATAGAGAGCGATACGTTGTTGAAAAGATGTGTGGGGGATCTGTTCTGTGGTCATTGTATCCACTCAATTATAGAGTCCCATATACAAAACATAGTCCAACCAAATAACATAGATATTTCGAAATGTTTTTTTTTTGTTCAGGCTAAAAGCATGGCGCTAGTTATGATGCTAATGTTTGTTTAGATGTCCACAGAAAATATTGTGAATACAATGAATATATAGAAAAGCGTGAATGTTGTGTTGTCGTTAAAAAAAATATTGAAATTTGAGAGACATATAACCTAAAAGGTCTGAACATTGAAGACTTTGTGTACTTTTTCAGTACTCTATTAGGAAAACTTCCAGTAAAATCTAGTATTGTGAACAGATGATTTTCGCATTTATGTTTATCTATTAATATAAAATTCTTAAACAACATTTACATGAGAACTTTTTATCGGGTTAACACCGATTTGTATTTGACATATGGGATTGACAATTTAGATCTACTGGATTTATTAAATCTGGTACAATGTAAAGGTTCTATTCCTATATTTTTTATTCGGATTAAGAAATACTATCAGAGTTTATATTATTAATCTCGTCATAGACCTTAGGATTTGCTATACCAAAATTAGATCTTCCAACGACGGGATTTTTTAATCCAACCCAGTTTTTAGGAATAAATGGTCTTTTTACCAATATACTTAAAAAGATAGCAGGGTCTCTATCGGGGTCTATAAAATCTCAATATATTTTAAAATTCAGTTTTTTAAAAGATTAATTTTAGAACGTCCTTTTGGGGTAATGAATCACATCCATATTTCGCGTTTTTTTTAATTGAAATGTGAGATCAAGTGCATTTCGTAAATTAAAACATACTTGTAACGGTCAAAAACAAAGTCATGTCAGATCATTTTTTAAAAATTGTTATGATTGAAAAGCCCTGATTATTTGACAGATTGTTTGAGAAGAGCTAATAATTTCTTGTTATATTTTGATTAAATTATTATTAATCTGTTCTCATACGAAAAAAGTGGAAAAACGAATTTTTAAAGAGTGAATCGAAAACATTTTCGATGAATAGAAATTTCTTAAAGGTTCTGAAATGAAACATAGAAAAAGTTGTAAACTCCCTGATCTACCAAACAAAACACAAACATGTTATAACATGTACGTGTAATAACGGCCTATAAATATACCTTTAGTACCCTAACCAACTGATAGGTTAATATAGATCGAGTACAATCATGTAAATAAAACAAAATTTTCGTTACATTTTTTAATCAACAATTACTTTTGAATATCTAACTGCATATCCCGTGCATTGCCTCTATGTTTAGAATCAATATTTCACATAACCCCATCGATGAACCACAAAATTTACATTTCATTCCAATATTCTTACCCATTTGGTGCACTTGGAAAATTCATTTTCTTTCACTTTATTTTTCTTCTCTATTTTTTTAGGGAACAAAAATCGGTAATCTGATTTATTTTAATTGCCAACAACAAATAGCAAACAAGTTCGTATTGCAAACGCTTAAAAGCAAAAACAATGAGGAGCCCCCACCGCACACATCCAAGGAAAAAAGTACATTCACAACAACCGGCCCCCGAGTCAGCGGCAGCAGTGTCTAAGTGGCAAATATGTGTCATATAGTGACAATAGTTGTGAGACAGCATCATCAAATATCGTCGTCAACCTACCAACCAACATCATCATCATCATCGCCAGCACCACCACCTTGGCCAACAGCGAGCGGATGACAATTTGCCTCATCAGTGAAACACGTTTTTACTGCATGTCTGCTGTGCTGAACAGACAGCATCTGAGTGATCAACGCCTTTGACGCAGGGATGGAAAATAAAAAATGTGAAAAGGTACCAAAAGAGTACATTTTTTAATAAAAGGGTACTTTTTTCAAGAAAATACAAAAAAAAAATATTTTATTCAGTTTCATAAAGATCGATTTTCAAGATATCACTTAGTGTATCTTTCTGATGGTAATAATATGAGAATTCTTGCTTCTTTCGATTGCATTTGAATATGTATGCTACTGACTAATTTCAAATTCATTACCTCTTTCTCGAAAGCCAATACATATACCCCAGAGTATGCCAAATTGAGTATCTGACAAACATATCCATTTGTAATTTTAATCATAACTGAACAGTTATCAGTCGAAAACCTGTTCATATTTTCAAGAGAAATATTGCAATCACATCAATATCTTTATCTGCATACTTTTGTCGGTAAATCCATAACAAATTCTAATCCAAAAAAAAAAAAAAATATATATATATATGTCATTGCTTAATGAAGTATTGGAATGGTACTGAAATAGTCACGGGGGTACTACGGTACATTTTTGGGTAAAAAGGTACTAAAAAAAGTACTATTGTACTGAATTTTCCATCCCTGCTTTGACGTCACAATCGTCGAAACGAAATATAGAGATGGTTGCTGTTCGGTTGTTGGTCGGGTCGTACGCCCCCTTTTTAGTATTATTGGCACTTGGTGGTGTGTGCAAGCAATGATTTCAAAATGATCATAGCACCGATAAACATAAATGGCACAAAGCATAGAATGGGAGAGGAAACAAAAAACAACTACCTATTTGAAAACAAAAATTATTTAATCTTTGGCGACAGCAAAACAAGTGGCCAAAAAAGAAAATGATCAGATTTACAACGAACTGATAAACGAGTCATCACAGGCGCTGCAGTGTTGGATGATATTGGCCATCATCAGCTATTTATTTTAGATTATTGAATTAGGGTTGCAAAATCAAAAACAGGGGAATTAATAATGGGACTAAGATTAGGGATTGCCTTCAAAGAAATTCAGTGACATACCTTCGACTCTCTTGCCATGTGGCAACTTTAAAGTATTACAAAATTACATATAGTGGTTTCCGAATTGATACCCATTTAAAAACCTGGACAATTTGATCGGTGGCAAGTATATAATTTAAAACAAAGTTCGTAATAACAAAATGTATTTTTAATTTTTCTTCAACAGCAAACAACAATTTCCTGCGGACTTTTCAGGACTTCAGGCGCTATCATGATGGCATGCAAGACGTCATTTCATCGGACGTCAACAGATTGTCGATATGTACGGCGATGAAATCCGTACATAAACTGGGGGTCTCCGAAGCCATCAATGACTATAGATGCAGCAAAGACCTACTCTAACATCCTCCTGCAATTTCGGAAAGTGAGAGGCTTCTTCCAAGGCGAACTCGTTCTATTTTGTCACAACTAAGGTCCAGATAAAACAATGTTTTCAATTCATATCGAGAGAGCATTTTCACCGGATTTCTAAATAGGTGTCCCTCCTGCCAGCAAAGCCCTCACGACACAC